TGTTTCTTTCACATACTTGTGTCAGCAACCATTGATTCTTGAATACCCGTATGTGCTTTTTGTTAAATTTTGTGCATTTTTTTGAAGCACACGTATAACCGTTGCATGTGTTACCTACTCACTTTATCTGACAAATTTAATTCAATGGAACGAACAAACCAAAGTCCTTACTTCCAGTCAAAACATAAGTACTTTACATATTATAATGCGGTTCCATTCACACAATTTCCAAAAAAAATTACATTACGAATTTTCTGATTACTTTCCATAAAAATGTACCTAATGCAATTTCTTAAAGCGAACCGATTTTATTATTTGTACAAATCAAAAAAGTTACTTTTTAGGCTATCATCATAAAAACGTTGATTTTGTGGTGGCTTTTGCGGTCATAAAGTTTCACTTTATTGTACGCTTCTGTCAAACTTTACTTTATTGTACACATCTGTCAAACTGTACTTATTTGAAACTGATGTGTGAGAAACAGTAATCTGTTTGATACAAAGCGTCTATCTGGTCTAGTCCCATCAAGGATTAGGCCATCCACGTTCGTTTTTTTCATTTTCGGACTTGTATAGGAATGTTTCACACTATTTTGCATAATCACAATGTTCACATTTAAAATTATAGTTTGACGTTTCAATCTTTGCTGCTTGCAGACCTTTTTGAAGTGTAGAACAGAAACATGAGGAAGATGTTATTGCTTACATTATTATACGAAGAATCACCAGCAATTAACCGAGAACACAAGTAGCTACCTATACCTACCATCAAAGAGTAGGTAATCAATCAGGTTTCTAATAATTGTACAGCATGTTAATTATAAGGTCTTGGAGGCCGCAGTTACGAATATTGCATTTGACATTATTAAAATCTTGTGCAACGGAGGATGTAGCGATTGTACTTTTACTCTCAAACGCCAGCTCTTATATCATATATGACTTAGGGTCGCAACGCTTGCAGCTTTCAAAATTTCATTTGGGGTATCTGAACTGTCGCTATCACCCATTTTGATACGCACAAAACACACGCAAAGATGCTAATTATAATTACATACGACATTTAATTGTCTAAGATAACTATGAATTCTTTTTTGATGATCGCCTAAAAAATGTTGTGTGCACCTTGGCCAAAAGTGATTTATTAGGCCTCATCTGAATTGCGGCCTCGGCTACCGCCTCGGCCGCAAACTGCAGCTTCGGCCAAAAAAGGTCACTTTTACGGCCTTGGTACACAAATAACTATTACCTTAATTGTTGCGTTTTCTGGAATCGAGGGTTTTCCTATGGCAATCCTCGAAGCGACGTGGACCTGGACAACATATAATGGAACCTGGATCTCCTAAAGGACTACTGCTGATTTTTTTCTGGATTCATTGAATCGTTTCTTTAAAATCTTATTAATAGCTCATTGGAATTTCTGAACTATTACAAAAAAAGGGGAATCTTCCAGAAATTCAGCGCACCAAATCACCCTGCCACAAACGATCTCGTGGAACGCTCTGTCTACCAAGCTACAGAATCCCTCTATCTAGTCTCCACACCACATCAATTAACTGATAGCCACCCTGGTTCCAAAGAAGCAGGTAGTTTTTCAACTCTCATCCAGCAGACCTAGCAGAGTTTGTTAAAAGCCAATGTATCTGGAATATTACATCCTAAAGCAGTAAAAAAAAAGTGGGGGAGATAGGGAATGACCATTTTAGAATCCCCGAAATTGTAAGTGTTGGGTCAAGTACCACTGTTTTATATTATTCGTACGCGTGTCGTTAATCTGGTTAAATAAGAATTGTTAAAGCCACAACCAACACTGTAATTAGTTACTTCAATCTCTTTAGTCAAAACGTTCCGGTATATTAATATATATCAAAAAAGATAACTGGAGATATGGACGATAGTACGATACATGACGGACGAAAATCCGGCATTTATTCTTTAAAAGTGAACGACACCATTCATCAAGTACAAGCTGTAACTGGATTCATTCAAATATGTGAAATACAAGCGGGCTATAAGAAATAGTTGTGGGTGAAACGATTAGTTTTATGTCATTTATGATACCATCTATGTGTTAATCTACTACCTACCAGGTTTATTCAACTTGGTATCTAGTATCTTCCAATTGCATATAAAATAACCTAAAAAATTGCGAATCCGATGTTTGTGTCGATTGATATGTAAATCTGTCCGTTGTCATGCAAGAAACGTTGTACTAGGTGTAAGAATTTACTTTTTCGGGAGAGGCCGATCTGTTAAAGATAAATAGGTCTTATCGCAGTCATTTATTACGTACGAGGAGCCTAGGCATGACATTTTATTTGTTGATATAGTTCCCCTTGCTGAGTTTCAATAACATCTTTAATCCTTTTCCGCAAATTGGCCCTCAACAGCTTCTATAAGTTCGTCATTTGTCCCCCTTTAGCGTTTTTCTTGAGATTCGAGAACAAAAATAGTCACTGGATGCCAGATCTTGACTATAAGGCGGATGTTCAATTTTTCGAAGACACAATCATCTACAGCAGCTTTTTAAAAGTCTGGAATTGTGTACTGGTGCACTGTCCTGGAGCAACAAGACACCTTGTGTCAGTTTTCCGCGTCTCCTCACTTTACCAGCATCTCATTAGGTTCGCAAAACATTCTCCCGTTACCGCACTACCCTAATTCATATAATAATCAATTAGCAAAACTCCTGGAGAGTCCCAACAATTGTTGCCATTATTTTTCTTGCAGAAGGGGTGCCTAAATTTGTTGGGAGATCAATTTTGACCATTCGAAAATAGTTGACTTAGAAGGGCAATCATCCCTCGTATACAGGCATTTATTTAAGGATAATTTTTAGAGGTTTTTCTTGTTTTGTAGTTACCAAGGCATACCTATGTGATTAAAAAACAGCATAATGAAAAACTGCATCAAAATTTATAACAGCGCAGTCCGGGAACATAAAAGCGACCCCTCGCAGCTGAAAAGATTCCAATATATATTCGAGAAGAAGGAGCTACTCAATTCAGTGAGTATTTTTCCTATTCAATTGAATTGAATTGAAGTGAAGGTAACCTTGGCACTAGAGAAGTTTAAAATATTACCGATCATGTCATAATTACGACAGTTTACCTCCCGGAGGTAATAAAAACCTAATTAAGTGTAATATGTAATAATCCCTTAATGATAAATTCAAGTAAGTAAGTGTAATGTGGAGGAAAAGTAGTTTTCAGAAATCAAGTATAAAACCCAGAGGAACTGTAACCGAAGCATCAGTTGTAACATTCTGCTCACACCATGTCTTTCAAGGTAAGTCAATCTCGTACTCGTACAAAATAATATTTTTGGTTTCTCGCAGCTTGTGACAATCTACGCTTTAATCGCATTCGCCAATGCCGGATACCTAGAATCCGGATTGAGATATGCGGCTCCGGCTCCGATCGCTTACAGAAGCTACGTATCGCCTGCGGTTACAAAGACCGATTTCATCCCGGGATCCTACTCGTCTTCCTACAGAAGCGATGTCATCACTCCACGTGTCCAGTACACCGAAACCCCCGGATACAGCTACGCAGTCCCCCAACCACCAGCCATCGCCTACGCTCCCACCGTCACCAAAGTTGCACATCTTGAACCGATCGTAAGAGCTCTTCCAGCAATCGCTCCAGCTCCAATCGCTCGTGTTGGATACGCAGGCGCCGCTTCATTCGCACTTGGAGGACACGGATTGGGATACGCTAGAGCTCTACCTTTGGCGCACAATGGCCTTGCTCTAGGCGGATTTGCGCGCGGATTACCTCTTGGTCATAGCACCTATGGTGGTTACTATTAAGATACTTGCGTAATTTATATTAAAATATACGAGTAACTTCCATGAATTTGGGAAAATTTATTTTGACACCTTATCTTCACCCTCTCACATTTCAAAAGAAAGAATGTAAATAAAAACTCCTTTATGCAACAATTCCGTTAATGGGAGTAATAGTTCCGACGGCACAAACTTTCTGTAATAATTTAATATTCCGAGAAACCCTCGTAACGTTCTAACATTTGTCGGTCGAGGAAAATTCTTAATTTCCTAGGAAAATAAACCTGTCTTTAATAAATTCACATTTTTCTATGTGTAGCTTCATCCCATTCCTTTTTAACTCACGCAATATTAATTGAAGGTGATCGAAGTGTTCCTCCTTATTATGTCGTCGACATAATGTAGGTAAGCAAAATTTGTCAAATCTATCTAAAATGCATTCCATTGCTCTAACTCTAACTAATGCCGCACAAGAACTAGCTACCCCAAATGGAACTACCCTGAATGGATATGTCACTCCGTCGACACTAAATCCCGTAAATTTCCTAGACCCTTTTTTAAAGCAATGAGCCAAAATTAATTTTGCAAATCTAATTTTGAAATTAGAAATAGAAATATTTTTTCTAACAACGACTCTATTTTTTGAGGTGATTCTAACTGAGGCGTTGTGCGTTTGTTTAGTTTAAGGGCATTCAAACATAAGCGAAGGGAGCTAGAAAGGAAGCAACGGGTTGATTATGTTAGTAGTGACCTTTTCAATTATCCCATTTTCAATCATTTTCACCAATACTCTACGTACTTCTTGTGTATAATGGAAAGGGACCAAATAAGTTTGAATTTTACCCATCTTTCTCTTGCATATTCAGACCGTCTCTCCTCCTCCCTTCTCTCTTCCATTTGATCCTTCTGATACTCCTTTTCATTCGTTTGCTGATAATTAAAATCCCGATTATAATTAACATTATTGTCGTTATTCCTGTTAGAATTCAAACTGTTATTATTATTCCGGTTGTAATTGGCATTATTATTATAGTATAATTGTTGTAACTACGGTTATAATTCTCCTTTCAATTATCCCTTTCTTGATTTTCCCCGTAGTGTCTATTTCCTCTCCATTGATTCTTAGGAATTACTTTTTTTTAACAACTTGTTATTTTCATACTTAGTTTGAAGTAATATTATTATACTCATATATTTGTCAATACTGTAGGTAACTCAATGGTTAATAATTATTTATGTTAATTTTATTAGCTTGGTAAGAGATTTATGTCACACCTTTTAATTATGATTAGATTTGGAAGGGCGGTAGATCGCATAACCAGGCGAACCCTTGTCCATTTGTAAGATTCTTGCTTACAATAAACTTTACTGTTATTATTATAATTATTCCCATATCCTTGCCTTTCATACTGCCGTCCTTGTTCCCTAACTTTATAATCATATGTCGCATCTAGAGAATGCAATACCGGGATCGCGGGATCCCGAAATACCGGGATCCCGCAGCATTTTTGCGGGATTAATCCCGCACATAAATGGAGCGGGATCCCGCGGGAGTTGCGGGACTGAGGAATTTGTCGACCAAGGGGACGACTCTGTTTACTTTGTTATTGAAACGCATAACGGAGAAGTTATTTTTTAAACAATTGTTTTTTTTTGTACTATGATTTTTGAAGCACTTTAGAAGTTCACCCTTTTGTGCTTTACAGGTGAGGTTTTTTGAGTTCTAAGTTAGGCTAAAGGTACTTTTGTTGATAATTATTGTGATAATTAGCGATTTATTTTAATACAGAAGTTAACTGCACAGAATTGCTTATTTGCCCATTTATATAAAGTTTTGCGGGATCCCGCAAATACCGGGATCCCGCGGGATTAACATCTAACAATCCCGCAAATATAGGGATTGAGATTTTGCTGCGGGATTGCATTCCCTACTGGAAACCAATTTCGAAAGAAATTCGTACTTTTTCGATCAGACTTCTCAATAAAAAGGTACAGACTAGAAACCAATTTCGAAAGAAAATTCAAAGGGCTGTAACTTTTGAACTAGTAGCCCAATCTTGGAACTGTTTGAAATTTGGATTCTACAGGCCACATTCTATAAGAAAATTTTTTTCCGGGTCGATCTGAGACAATTTTTTTTCGGGCCTCAAAAAAAAGGCAGTGTACAACCTTCCTTTTTTACCAAAAATCGACTGCACCAAAATTTCTCGGGAAAACACTTTTTCTAATTAATTTTGGTGCGTAGAATCCAAAACAATTCGTACTTTTTCGATCAGACTTCTCAATAAAAGTTATAGACTAGAAACCAATTTCGAAAGAAAATTCAAAGGGCTGTAACTTTTGAACTAGTAGCCCAATCTTGGAACTGTTTGAAATTATGGATTCTACAGGCCACGTTCTATAAGAAAAATTTTTTTCCGAGTCGATCTGAAACAATTTTTTTTTCGGGGCAAAAAAAAGGCAGTGTATAACCTTCCTTTTTTCCAAAAATCGACTGCACCAAAATTTCTCGGGAAAACACTTTTTCTTATTAGTTTTGGTGCGTAGAATCCAAAACAATTCGTACTTTTTCGATTAGATTTCTCAATCAAAAGTTATAGACTAGAAACCAATTTCGAAAAAAAATTCAAAGGGCTGTAACTTTTGAACTAGTAGCCCAATCTAGGAACTGTTTGAAATTATGGATTCTACAGGCCACATTCTATAAGAAAAATTTTTTCCCGGGTCGATCTGAGACAATTTTTTTGAGGGCCTCAAAAAAGGCAGTGTACAACCTTCCTTTTTTACCAAAAATCGACTGCACCAAAATTTCTCGGAAAAACACTTTTTCTTATTAATTTTGGTGCGTAGAATCCAAAACAATTCGTACTTTTTCGATCAGACTTCTCAATAAAAAGTTATAGACTGGAAACTAGAGAATGCAATACCGGGATCGCGGGATCCCGAAACACCGGGATCCCGCAGCATTTTTGCGGGATTAATCCCGCACATAAATGGAGCGGGATACCGCGGGATTTGCGGGACTGAGGAATTTGTCGACAAAGGGGACGACTCTGTTTACTTTGTTATTGAAACGCATAACGGAGAAGTTATTTTTTAAATAATTATTAAACTTTTTTCCTTAAAAATGTACTATGATTTTTGAGGCACTTTAGAAGACTTTTTGTGCTTTACAGGTAAGGTTTTTTTGAGTACTAAGTTAGGCCGACTTTTTTGTTAAATATTGTGATAATTAGCGATTTATTTTAATACAGGAGTTAACCGCACAGAATTGCTTATTTGCCAATTTATATAAACTTTTGCGTGATCCCGCAAATATCGGGATCCCGCGGGATTAACATCTAACATTCCCGCAAATACCGGGATTGAGATTTTGCTGCAGGATTGCATTCCCTAGTCGCGTCCTTCTCCTCATCGGCCGTATCATACGTTTTAACATCCTTAAAAATTCCTCGTAGGTCGTCACAATCACAACGTCTTTCGTCACCTTTTGGGAAATCTCATCCTCGTAGTGTTTAGCCAACCTCCTAACCAGCACCGATTCCTGTACCCCATTTTCCAAATATTTAAATTGAGTAGTTTTCCATCAAGTACTTTACTCGGCTATCCCTATCTTTGTTGTATTTCCCCATGTTTAATTGATCCCGTATGTTATTTTTCTCCCAGTCACCCCAATACTGATTTATAAAATTTTCTTTAAAAGATTCGAAGTTGGGAATTTTTTCATCCACTGTATCCAGGACTGTATCATACCAATTCTGATCATCCTGCTTGAGAACGCTCCTAATTAAGCTAATTTCGTCGACATTAGTCAATTGTCTCCCATAAATGCGCCGATTATTAAAAATTGTCGCCTCTAAAATTTTTAAAAATGACATAGGGTGCGCCTTTCCCGCACTCGTCAATTTTTCTAGACGGTCCAGGTCTCCCTTCAACGCCATACCGTAATTAAGCCCGCCCATACTCGGCCTTCTTCTCGTCCCTTCTCGCATATTATCAATTTCCTTTTTACATCCCCCGATTTCCTTATTATTCTTTTGGTCCATTCTGCGCATATTCTCCTTCCCATGTCTCTCAATTTTGACTATCTCATAGCCCTGGAAATCAATTTTTGTATTTTGTATCCCGTGATTGAACGCCTCTCTCAATTCCTCTCTATCTTGCAAAGCCATTCGAAGCCCTCTATCTGTCTTCTCTCGCAATTCCTTTATTTGTTTTTCGGTTCCGTCCATCTCCTTCCGTGGTCCTGCAGTTTTTCCTTCATTTCACTCATTTTTGTATTTATTTCTGAGATTCGTTTTCTCCCCTGTGGTTTTAGTTCTTCGCGCAATTCTTCCCGTATTTGTTTTAACTCGGCCATCTTTGCCTCCTGCCTATCCACCCTTTCCGTTAAATTACCCTCTGACCTCTGTATCGCTTCAAGGATTCGGGCTAGTACATCGTGCTGCATCTCAGTTATCCCCATTGTTGATTCTTCCTGCTGGATTTCTTCCTGCGTTTCTTTCATTGAGCTAGCAATTACTTCTTGGGTTTCTTCACTTGGTAGGTCAACAATCCCACTTTCCTTGTTAAAATTCACGTTTAAAAATAAAAAAATCCTAATTTTCTTCTAAACGTCCTCAAACTTTACTTCTTTTCTATGCAAAATGCAATGAAATTGTCACACATTTTTATGTAGGATAAATACGCAAAATTAACTGTACCTTTTATGCCTTTTTCATAATCAACCTCGAAAAGCTACGAAACACAGTCACGGTCGCCAAATGTAACTTTTCTACATAAAAAAGTAAATCCTCCTCCACAAATGACAACAAATCTATATTTTGACAAATATACAAAACAACTGCTTTTTTTAAATAAATCTAATTACTGCAATGTGTACGGACCAATGACAATAATGGTTTCCTCATAAATAACATCCCCTTCGCGTATACGTTACATTGATTTGAAGAAAATTGCCAGCGAGCTGGTTTATTAACGTCTTCGAAAGCTACACGAAGGTAACCAAGCGAAAAATGAACAATTAATTAACCGAACAATTCGACACAAGTTTTCTTTTAGAAAGCATTCTCAAATACCAGTTTATTTTTACCTACTCCA